TCCCCTCCCTCCCTCCCTCCCTCGTTCTGTCTTTCCGACAAAGTCTTATATCCCATGGGCGGAAGGAGCGAACCAGGGAGTTGAGGAAGGCGATATCCGCACGCGGCTCGTTAGCATCTACAGGAGGTCAGACCCTCTCTCCTCCGCCTCTAACTCCTCCTCTAACTCGCTGCTCCTCCTCCTCCTCTAACTCGCTGCTCCTCCTCCTCCTCTCACTCGCTCCTCCTCCTCTTCCTCTCACTCGCACCTACTCCTCTCACTTGCTCTCGTCGCAGGCCCATAAAGGTCATAGACGACTTGGGCGAGTCCCTGGTCGTGGTCCCGAGCGCCGTTGCGGAGAGGATAAGGCGATGAGCCTCGGTAGCAGCAGCGACTGCGGCAGGAGGAAGAGGAGCAGGAGCAGGAGCAGGAGCAGGAGCAGGAGCAGGAGCAGGAGGAGCAGGAGGAGCAGGAGGAGCAGGAGGAGGAGGAGGAGCAGGAGGAGGAGGAGGAGCAGCAGCAGCAGCAGGCTTCAACGGGCAAGTTTTGCTACTCATTGAGGTGGACAAGATCAAACTTGTGAGGACGAGGATAAAGCCTACAAACCCGCCTCAATAAAATACTAGGAAACGAAGGAGGCAGCGAAAACCGCTACTCCAACCACGCAAGCGACGGCATGCACGACAAGCAGGGGAACAAGGATCAGGACAAAGAGCAGTAGCGCAAGGAAGACGGGCGAGACCCATGCGAGAGCGATACTGCCGAAACAGGCGAGCACGCAAACGATGAAAGGCAGGGTCCCCATACACCGCCTCCTGAGCGCATCTCATCGCACTCCGCTGTCAGGAGCTCCATGGTGATCCGCCAGGTACCAGAGCAACCGCAAAGCGTCAGCATGAAGAAGACTTCGTATTTTACTCATCTCTCTGATTGACTACGAACCCGGTCCCGCCTCAGGGCCTGACGATCCGCCGGTCGCAAAATGACCGGGGGGCCTTTGCGTCGCTCAACTTCCCTTGGGAGACTTAATCTGCGCCAGATTTGTAATTTCAATAAGATGATTTCAATTTTTGAGGTAACGAGTTTGAAACTTACACCTGGCCACTTAAACGGGTTTCCCAACCTCTTCTCAACGCTCGGAGAATCCGTGTGGTAGTCACTTATGGAGGAATGCTCCCAGGGGGTGGGGGTGGGTAAATCATCCGGGGTGGTACTGGTGCAGTTGGGAAGCATAATGTAATGTAAAGGGGTGAAGTGGACATCAAGAGTAGGGTGGGGTCATTTTCTGGAGATAATCAGGGGGTAGGTAGTAGGAAGCGTTAAGGATTCTTCAGGGTGGGTGGTCGGGGGGACGCAACGCGATAGCGGACATTATTGCCTTCCAGTTCTCTCCGCCTGGCAGCGTATAGACGCCATGCAGAGATGGATAGAAGACTAGCAGAGACAGGAAGGGGATACACGTGAGTAGATGAAGGAGCAAGCGCTGAGATGAGCTACTGCTGAACGTGATGCTGTGCTGATGTTGTGGCAGGTTGGAGTACAAGTTCGATTTGAAGGTTGAACAAGAGCCGACGAGAAAGATTTAATATTCATCAATTCAGAGCAATGTCGTTCTCTGACTTCATCGTGGACTTTCTGAACATTGTCACCCTCGGCCGATCCAAGTTCATCCTCATCGCCCGAGCTATCGCATGCTTCAAACTTGTATCTCTCGCATACTTCCTCGTCTGGTCGTACGGCAGCCATCAGTGCTTTCGAGACCTCACTGGCTTTGCAAGCTTGGTTGTTTTCCTACCCTTCTTCGCATGTCTTGCTCTGTTTGCCGTCGAAGTGTTGTTCTGGATGTTCTCTTTGTACAAGAAGATGCTCACCCGTATGTACACGCAAAGTCTGCTCGACGCAAACCGCAACCTGCTGTCGCTCTGCACCCCGGAGTTGTGCATGGCGCAGAAGTTGAGAATAAGAGGTCTCAACGTGCTAACCGACGTTGGCATCTTGATATGGTTGATCATTGTGTGTGCCATGTATGCCGAGTTTGAAAGATCGCAAGCAACAACACAATGTATCTACGATGCGAAGCTTGGCGAGCCAAACAGCTGTGTCATCTGCAGCTTGCAACCGTTGGTTGCCGCGTATGCGTGCTTCTTGGGCGTATCCACAGGCATCATCTTGAAGACAGTTGTCCTGGCCTCGCATGGAGACTTCACGCTTCAGTCTCGAGTGTTAGAGAATGTCCTCATGAACGCATCGCGCTGCAAGAACCCTTTCTGGGTGTGGGTAAACTGCAGTGAGCTCCGACAGCTGTACTCTGCTACCATGGCCGGGATCTTGTTCATTCCGGCGCTCCTGCTGATACTGGGAGGCTACGTCATGGTTTCCTCAAAGGCTCAGGTGTTCATCGCTCCTCTCCTGCTTGCTGCGACAGTGATCATCGTGCTCGTGGACGGAGGGCTCCTGTGCCTCCCTTGGCGCCTGTTCTGGTCCTTCCTCTCATCCGGAGGATCCTTGCCATCGCTGAAGATCACCTCCATGGTCTCGAGGCCTCAGCGCAAGGTTATCGCTTCCTTCCTATGGTTCTTGTCAGTGCCATGGATAGGTGGCTGCCTGCTGGCCAACATGGGAGCCCTGGGAGGGATAAACAATTTCTCTGCCATTCTTCTGCTTATCTGTGCGATCTTGACGGTCTTCTTGTTTCTTGTTCGAGACCGTGAGATGTCTGTCGACGAGAACATGATGCGAACTCCCGTCGACAACTACGGCCTGATCATGTCCAAGGAGCGGATGGTGTCTGAGTTTGCGCGCATCTTGGCAGAGAGCAAGGACGGTCCAGCTGTTGTGGAGCACGAAGTTCGGATTCCCACCTACCTTGCGAGTCAAGATAGGATCGACCTTGCTGCGATCGTCAGCTACCGTTGGAGCAACGAGCACATGTACAGGAGCAGGAACCCCAACGCTGATGCTCCCCGCTGCTACAAGATCCGTCTTGCCGGCAACCAGGGGTTCGATTGGGTCGTCACCATAGTCGAGCCGATGCTGCAGGGCATGGTGACGGCGCTGTCCAAGGGCAGCCAGGAGTACGTGTGGATGGATCAGTTTTCGATCCCTCAGGAGAACAAAGGAGGTACCATGGAGCGGGAAGAGCTCAAACGTGCTTTCAAGAGTCAGCTGATCCCGCGCATGATCGGCCTCTACTCGTCTGGAGGGATCGTGGTCGCCTTCAACAACACGGGAGACTCTCGGATCCTGGAGGAGGACTGGTATCAGAACCGCCTGTGGTGCCTGCAGGAGTACACGTTCCCAGAGAAGATCGTCTTCGAAGACATCAGCGACCGCAAGGGAGGAGATCATGAAAAGGAGATCAACAGCAAGCGGTCGAGGATGAGTCAGCTCTGGTTCCGGTCGACCAAGCGGATCCGATCGAACCAAGTGGCCGACGTGCTGATGGACCACGAGAGCATGCAGCAGAAGATCCTGCTAGACTGGGACCAAACCTCCAGCTCCCTCCCCCTGGATATCATAGAGAGGGTGACCATGATCGGACCCTCCGACTACTTGACAACCGTCAACAGCCTGAGCGCGTCCAATCGCAACGACATCCTTCCCGCCCTCGCGCAAGCATGGTTTGGTATCATCATGACGAGAGAAGAGACCAAGTTCAAGCTCATCACCAGCATCGTCAACTCCTACTTCAAGGAGACCCACAACTTGTCCATCGATGTCATCGTCAACAGAGAGGAGGGTTCTCAGGTTCTCCCGTCCTCAGGGAGCATGTCTGTCCATCGCATGCTCGCCGGCCTTCCCGCAACCAACGAGGCGGGAAACGCGCAGCTTGTCAAGATCAAGTGCCATGGAGTGAAGCAGACACAGCGTGATAGCTTGCCTGACTTGCACGTCATGACAGGACAGCTTCTGACTCCTGCTGGGTTCGAGGACTGGACTACGACGTTGGAATGTACAAGGGACCCGAACAGCATCGAGGAAGGAGTATACAAATACCACCTAGTCAAGATGACTGTCTTTCAAGGCTCGCGGGAGGCTGCCGGGCAGGAAACGTACGTGTGCGAGTGCCTGTAATGGCGACAGACTTGCCTCGAACAGGCAGTGACGATGTCGCGAGTCAGTGTTCGAGCGATCTCTGTCGACGAGTGTCAACGCAGCAATGTCGTGTGCAAGAAGACTGTCAAACAAACTGTATCAGTATTTGGCAGAGTGAAAGTGAGATAGAAATTTACTGAGCACAGCAATTTGATGGAGAGAAAAGATTGAGATAACGTGTGAGCCAATACATAATGATAAACTTCTCACTTGATTACAACAACCTTTCGGTTACGGCCTGCCTTTGGCGGCATGGCTCGGAGGGTTGCGGAGTGAGTGGACGAGGAGCGTTTGAAGGAGGAAGAACAAGAGGAGGACGCTAAGGCTAGGCTGGAAGAGCAGCAAACTTGGGTTTAGTATCGATCTTCAACCTTCTTGCTGACTTTCATGCGAAGCATTCCAATGAGTTGCTGGCACACTGACACTGATGTTCATCACGGTGATCATCGGATGAACTCGGTGTACGGTAGCCCGGCTCTCAGTCTCACTGCCACGTTCGGACCGTTAGTGATTCCGCCTCATGTTCAATGTTACTAAACGGTTACAGGCTGTCGCCATGGCACAGCCCGGCTTGAATGGGCCGGAAGTTGAGTGAGCCGCCGGGCCGGCGGCAGCCCTGAGAGCCCGGGCCCCCGGCGCCGTCGAAGGGCCCATTGGGACTCGAAAGTCACTCCGACGCCGTCACCCGGGACCGGGTGGCCGCAGTGACTCACCGTGACTGAGTCACGGGCCGACCGCCGGGCCGGGTGCGACGAACTTCCGAGTTCGGAGCTCAGCCCGGCCGCCGCGGCGGCGCGGCTTGCGGCGCCGCCGTGCCACAGGCTGCGGCAGCACGGTCACGGTTGTGCCCCGCCCCGGGCCCGCCGACTCCGGGCGCCGCAGGGCCGGGCCGGGCCGTGAGGCTACCGTAGTAGCAGCAAGGTGACTTGAGTGATCACTGACCCACGGGCCCTTCAGACACCCGGTCACGGTTCGAGTATACAGATGGGTCACAAGTGCTCAGTACCGGTGATAACCTGTGCATAAATGCCATAAATGATGGGGTGGGTAGTATTGCAAGTCAGGGTGTAAAATTAGTGGGTAGGGTGGTCTGATGTCGGGGTAGAGGTTCTCTTCACTTGTGCAGTACCCATGTCTACTAGTCTCGTATTCAGGCTCATGGTGGGGTACTTTTGAAAAAAACAAAGTATTTACAAGGGTGGGTGGGCAATGGGGGTGGAGGTGAACTGAGGACCCTTGGTTGACAACATACGTGTTGCGAACCAGGGGGTACTGGTGACCAGGAAAGATGGCATCCATGTGAGGAAATGAGGGGTAGTAATTGGGAAAAAAGGGGGTAACCTGATAATCAGGGTGGGTTCGAGTGAATGGGGGTGGGTGGTGTAAGGGTTGCAACGTGGTAGGACCCACCTTTTCGTATAGTTATGATATGGGGATAGGTGGGTGGGGTAATGGTGGGGAACTACAGTAAGGGACCGGTGGTGAAATCAAAATATTTCCCAGGGGTGTAGCTTCATGTTGAGGTGGGGTAGGAAATGTAGTAAGGTAGGGTCATCAATCGGTAAGGATCAGGGGTACCTAGATGATGGGGGGGGGTTCATTTTCCCGGAGAGGGTAGGGGTAGTTGCATTACATAGCGATCGTATAAAGACGGGGGAAAGACGGGGGTACTCGTCAGGGGGTTCGCAACATATTAGTAGGGTAGGGTACAATTTTTCCAAAACAAATGCCTAGAAAAGTGGGGTATGATAATGAAGAATATGTGGTGGGGTACTTTAATGAAGGGGTAGTGTAAAAAGAAATAGGGTGGGGTACTCTGTGTAGAGGGGTAGAAACCATGGAGGGTGGGCGGGTGGTAATCGCTGGATCTCTTCCACGCCCAAGGAAGGAGGGGGATGTTATACCGGTAGGGGTCCACCATGCAAAGGGGTAGGTACTCATCTTAATTACTTATTGAGATGTATATGTAAGAAAAATATTAGTCTTCATAGTTTTTAATTACCTATTCAATCAGAATTGACCGGAATAGTTTAGTCATATCTGGACATATAGAGAATTCTATGGAGAGTGGGTGGGTGGATTTTGACACTATCAGTCTTGAAGACCCTGGTCTCTTTATTAATCCACTGCTCACTATGGCACGAGGGGGGCATAGATCAATGGGAGCAGGAGGAGGAAGAGAAGGAGGGAAGAGACGGTGAAGATGAAGGTAACAGTAGGAACACAGAGCAGAGATGTGAAGGGAGGAGCAGAGAACAAGAGGAATAGGAAGTGATATTGACCATGAGGATGTTTTGATGCTCAGGGAGTTTACCGGAGGATTATTCAAAGGCACCAGCTTCAGATGTGTTGGCAGGGGGGAGATGTTTGTTTGCTTTGAAGATGTAATCACGTGCAATGAGAGGAAAACGTAGCGAAGAAAACGAAATGACAAATATTTCGTGCGGGGGCAAGGAACTCGCAAGGGAGACACGATCTGACTTGTCGCATGTTTGACAGGACGTTCCCACGAACCTGTCTTGAATGTGGAAGGAGCTTCCCTGAGGAATCGATCTTGTCAAGTACATCCCGCAGTTCCTTCTCCTCCTCCTCTTGTACCTGTGGGGCATCCGTCCTGACGCAACTCCTGCCGATGCGATCCTCCACCGCAGTTGTGAGGAACAAAGTGCTCGCAATATCCTGTTTGAACCAGATCTCCTCTCAGCACCATAACTTTCCTGGGCATTGCCGCCAGTATGGAACGAAGCTGAGAGTGCAGCGAGAACAGCAGCGATCTGAGACAGCATCGCAGCTACTGTCCAAGTGCAACATCGAGAGGAGGGTTTCGAACGGTTTCGACCTACATGCCAACAAGTCTCACATCCACACTGGCAGCAAGTCAGCACCCGAGCCCAGCAAGAAGCTGGGCAACGCAGCGGACGTCAGCATCCGATCCGTCATGGCGAGTGCAGCGGGGGCTGCGGCCCTCGGGGGCCACCTAGCGGGCAAAGTTATCGACCCCTTCAGGCTGATGGAGCCGCAGCTGCGGTCGCTGACAGAGAACCTCAAGACTCTTGCTTCAGCAGACAACAAGGTTTTGGACACTGTCTCTCGCTACTTCTTCGACGTCCCGGGGAAGCGCTTCAGGCCTGCTCTGGTGCTTCTCGTCGCGCAGGTCGGATGCTGGGCTCTACCCTCCCCTTCGTCCTCCTTGACGTCTCTCTGCCTTGCGTTCCCTCCTCTCCTCCTCTCCTCCTCTCCTCCTCATGTGTTCTGCAGGCGAGCCCGCCAGCAGGGGAGATCTCAAGTGAGCAGCAGAGGCTTGCAGAGATCACAGAAATGATCCACACGGCTTCACTGCTGCACGATGACGTCATGGACCATGCGGAGATCAGGAGGGGCATCCCGTCGCTCAACAACGTGCGGGAGCAGCATATTCCAGTGACTAGCGCTGAGCCCTTCCTCCAGGTCCACGGGAACAAACTCGCCATTCTAGCTGGTGATTTTTTGCTATCGAGAGCATCACTGAACCTGGCGAGGTGAGTAGGGGGAGGGGGGGGCGGGGGGGGGCGTTGGGGTGCGGGGTTGACCCGCCGGGGCCCTCCGTAACTTTGGGGGCTTCAGGTTGAAGAATGTGGAAGTGATCGAGCTGTTATCGACGGTTATCGCGCACTTGGTTGAGGGGGAGATTATGCAGAGCAGAACCGAAGTAGAGGAGAGGCGGCTGCCTGGCCAGGACCCCCTAACTTGTCGCAGACGTTGGAGGCAACAAACTTTGACTACTACATGCGAAAGACTTACCTCAAGACGGCCTCGCTGCTCGCCCATAGGTGACCACCGTCCCCCTGCTCCTGCTCCATCTCTCTTGTTCTCTCTCTCCCTCCTACGCTACTGCCTCCTCACTCGCGTCCACTCGCAGCTGTAAAGGGGTCGTGCTCCTTGGGAGAGCCGAGGAGAGCTTGAAGGACTCCGCATCCGAGGTTGCCTTCGAGTACGGGAAGCACATTGGGCTCGCGTTCCAGATTCAGGTGATGGAGTGACAGTGTCCGCTTCCTCTTCCCCTCCCTCCTCTCTCTTCTGTTCCGCTCCTCCTTTTGTTTGTCCTGTCCATCTCCTCCACTCCAATCCCCTCGTGATCTCCTGCAATTTTGTGCGATCCGTTTGCCGTCGTCTTGTATCTCACTGATCATGAAACCTCTCTTCCTCTCCCTCCCTCCGTATCCTCTCTCCCACCCCCAACTCTTCCCTCGAGTTGGCAAGGCTCCTCCTACCTCTCCTCGTTGACACAAACTGGGAATCTCCTGACGCACCACAGGACGACGTGCTGGACTTCGAGGGAGACCTGCAGAGCTTGGGGAAGGTACAGGAGAGCATCGAGGGGTCGAGGAGGTGACGCCGTGCCCTTCAGACGCCAGGGAGCGATCTCAGGGAGGGGCTGACAACAGCTCCCGTCCTCTTTGCCCTGGAGAAGTTCTCGCACGAGCTGGAGCCGATGATCCATGTGCTTCTTCCTCCCCTCCCTCGCCGCGTGCTGACGTGCTGCCCCTACAGAGGTGCTACAAGGGGGAAGGCGACGTCGAGCGAACCATGCAGCTGGTCAAGCTGAGTGATGGCATCGCCAAGAGCAGGTAGGAGCAGCTGCATGCGAGCGAGAGGAGGAGAGGTCTGACCGGGATGATGCAGAGAGCTGGCGCTGGAGCACAGCAGGCTCGCGATCGAGAGCGCCAACAAGTTCGAGCCGTCAGTCACAAGAGACGCCCTTGTGCAGCTCGCGCACCTGGTGGCCTCTTGCTCCTGCCACTCCTGCCCCTCCCGCACCACCTTCTTCCCCTCCCGCACTACCTCCTACCCTTCCTGCCGCTGCCCTTACCCCTGCTGTTGATGCTGCTTCCTCTGCTCCCCTAGCCGCCACACCATCCTCCATCCTCCTACTCTGCCTTCCTCGCTCTCCTCGCTCACGCTCAGCCGCAGGTGGTGGACAGGAAGGCATGAGGAGGGTGGCGCAGCTGCTGCTGATGAGGGAACAGTCGGAACTTCCTGCCTTGTGCTGTTTGTGGTCGGCGGAGACGATCGCCGGCCGAGAGCCTCATGATGTACATAACATGTGTGTGAAAGGAGCATGCGGACATGAAGAGATTCTAACAAGTTTCAAGCTTCATTGAGGGTTGGGAGGAGGAGGTCGGGAGTTGGGGAGAGAGCATGATCTATGATTGGGTGTGGGGATGCAGAAGGCCGCCGGTTGCCCGACCCGGGCCACTCAGCGGCAGACTACCGATCCGAGCCTGTCCGCAGCACTCGCTCAGCGGCCATTGAAGGCCGGGCCGGGGCCCGCCGCCGGCAGCGTACACCTCTATTCCAACCCGGTTGGCACACGAGCTATGTCTCTGAGGCGGGCCAGCAAAAGCCTTCAACTTTGAAACTTCGTGGAAATTACCAGTTCCGAAGTTTGATCGAAACTTCTGAAGATTGACAGGGGTACCTGATCATCCACGGGTACCTTTGACCCCACCCCATCTTCAATTATGTGGTATTAGTAGGGGTCTTATTTGGATGGCCAATCTAGAAGAAGGGTAGGGTACTTAAGTCGCAAGCGTGGACGACAAACCATGTTGAGGAAGGCGATGAAGGGGATGATGTTGATGGCGATGGCGACGACGATGATGAGAAGTGAAGGTGAGAAACGATGAAATTCAAGTTGAATAAGAGTATGATAACACGAGGAAGAACGAAGAAAGATGTCATATGAGACAACTCGAGCAAGAGTAAGGACGAACACGTGGAGCACATTTCATAGGACACAACATCATCTGCCCTCTGCTGCCCAGAATGTGTCATCACGAAAGCAGGACATGGATGGGGCTGAATGTTGGTAGTGAAGAGAAGAGAAGTCTTGAGAAGGACAAGGCTGGGACTGGATGCTGATAAAGGAGTTAGAGGGAGAAGGGATAGGATGGAGGAGGGGTAGGAGATAAGAAGGAGGAGGGGCAGAAAGTAGGGGTAGTGAGTGGAACAGCAGCAGATTTAGCAGGAGTTTGCGGCCCAAGTCAATCTGACTTCCTCCTCAGGTTCTTTCGCTTCCGCTGGATTGGCCGTGCCGACCAACTTTAGATGGTTGAGCATGGGAGGGGCCGGTAGCTCCTCCTTCCGCCCCCTCTCCCTCAGAGGAGGCAGCGAACCAGAGGCATCGAGCAAGTACGACCGCGTGCTATGGGACATGCTGCAACAGCATCCGGACGAGATCCATTTCCTCAACACCGTGTTCAACTTCCTGCAGAGGAGGACGCCCTGCTTCAACGGGCCGAGGGCCAAGGACAACTACGAGATCCTCATTGATACTCTCTGCCACCAGAAGGAGAGGTACCTGCAGCACATCGCTTCCGGGGGAACTATGAGAAAGCCAGAGCCCATGCAGGAGGAGCCGAGGAGGGTGGAGACAAGGACGGAGAAGAAGACGGAGACGAAGACGGAGCCATCTCCCACGACGGATGTTCCGATCACGGAGGAGACGCCGGCTGATGGCAAGGAGATTGAAGCCAAAGATCAGCTGGAGCTGGTGGAAAGTAATGAGGGAGGAGGAGCGAGGCAGACGGGCCTGCAGATCCCAGTGAACAATGGAGGGAGGACGGACAGGTGCTGCCTCTGCTGCTGCTGCCCCTTGTCCCTGTATTCTGGCTTGTTTCACTTCCCTGTCTCCTTACCTGTGTATCTGCCAAACTCTCTGTCATCCTCCTCCACATCTCCTCTCTTCTGCTCTTCCTCGTTTCCTTTCTCCTCTTCGCTCCTTGTCTTCTTCTCCCCCCTCCCCTTCCTCTCCCTCTCCCTCTCCCTCTCCCCCTTCCTCTTCCTCTTCCTCTTCCTCTCCCTCTCCCTCTCCCTCTCCCTCTTCCTCTTCCTCTTCCTCTTCCTCTTCCTCTTCCCCTTCTCTTCTCCTCTGAGCTCTCAACAGGTATGTCTGGGCTCAATCGCTTACCGAGGTCACTGCGGACATCTTCCTCCCTCCCGGCATGACCCCCAAGATGCTCAAGGTGGAGACGACTGCTGACACGCTCAAGGTAGGAGAGCTGGCGCTGGGTTTGAGGAGGAGGGGGACCAGGAGGAGAAGAGGATGAGGAAGAGGAAGAGGAAGAGGAGGAGGAGGAGGAGAGACAGGGGCGTCAGGGGGGGCAGGGGGTCAGGGGGGCAGGGGGAAAGGAGCAGGAGGAGCAGGAGGAGCAGGACAAGGTCGTTGTCGAGGAGCAGGAGTAGGAGTAGCAGGAGCAGGAGCAGGAGCAGGAGCAGGAGCAGGAGCAGGAGCAGGAGCAGGAGTAGAAGCAGGAGCAGGAGCAGGAGCAGGAGCAGGAGCAGGAGCAGGAGCAGGAGCAGGAGCAGGAGTAGAAGCACGAGCAGGAGAATCAGGAGGAGTAGCAGGAGGGAGTTCTATTTTCATCTTCCTACATCTTGGAGCCTGACGTGTCTGCTGGCCAAAGATCAGCAGAAAGACCGGAGAGGTAATCCTTCAAGGCACCTTCCCCGAAAAGATCTTTCCGTCTGAGACAACCTGGACGGTAGAGAAGGACATCCTGGGA